ATAGTACATATGCAGATGGCTTGACCCAGGTTTCAGTCATCAGTGTAAGTCTAAATGGAGGGAGTTCATCTGCTACAAGTGGGAAAGACACTTCTGTGAAATTCTTTGTCCAAACATTGTGAAGGAGTGTACCAGGGCTGGTCTGGCGTTCCACAAACAAGCCAGTAGCCAAGAGCCCCAGAAATGAGTATTTATGTCTTAAATTCTGACTGAAGGCTTTCCTGCAGTTGGTGGGCTTATAAATATTTCAAGTTCCCTGTCATTTCAAAAGACGTGGGTTCCCACTGCAACCTTTTTCCTCACTCAGAGCATTTATAGGGTCTCTCTGTATAGCTTTTTGCCTATATTCACAAAACCCATAGAAATTTCATTACATTAATTATCTCCACCCACTTGCTAAAGCAGATCCAAATTTGCTGAGAGGTTGCAAAATCATTAAGTCAAACAGAGCTTGACCACACAAGCCTCAAATTCATCCACAATTTCCAAATGGAAGTGGGAACTTTTTCTGCAGTCTATAGCAATTGTATCTATATTGAATTATGTCCAGGTTCATCTATTTGGAATAAAGAACAGAAAGGGAATTCAGATTTTCTCCCTGGTGGTGTGCGCTGTTCTATCTGTCAGGGCTCCCTCACCTCTACAAACCTGCTAAAACCCAAACTGTATGGAGGAGACATAGCTCAATAAATTGAAATTGTACGTAGTGTAAACTACAAATACAAAAGCCTCAGGTAAAAGTTATTGAGCATATAATGCAGTATGCAAACCAAGTTTAGGCAGGAATTCTAAAAATGTGTCCATGTTCAGAAACACTTAGCAGGAGCCAAATCAAATGGAATAAAAAGGAAAAAAATGTAGTGGTGAATGCAATTATACACGGGAACCAACACTCAAGTGAAGTGGTAAATTCTTTATCCCTTGGCACTGGGAAACAAGCTTCTCACCAAAAGACCTTGATGTTTTCCCTTTAAGTAAAGTTAAACACTTTTTTTCAACTAGTCTGCATGATGACTGGGGAAGACCTAACTTGACACTAGTCACATTTCTCTTGCTAGAAGTTTTTCTCAAGAGCTGCTTAGGAGAATTAGCTTACTGACAAACCCTGATGAGTTTGAGGGGAGAAGGGGGAGAAGAGAGAAGGTGAACAAGGGGTGACAGGGAGACACCTTGATTCAACAAGCCTTTGAAAAGTTGCCCCTCTTCCCACAATTTAATAGCCTCACACTAGAAAACAATCTTGTGTACACCAGTACATCATCCATATGTAATTACGTACATTATTCAAGATTACCTGCCAGATTTTGCACTTGGGGCCACAGTCTCCACTCCCTGCAGAAAACAACGTGAAAACTAAAGTGTTTGAGCAATTGCCTCTGAACTGTAACAGGCATATGCAACCCTTCAACTTTTACAAATTGATAACCACGGCTCTCATTCATGCTTACAACAAATAAGGACAGTCTGTATTTCCAAGCATGCGTGCCAGAACAGTTTTCTTGGGGGCTTGTCTAAACAGGAGTTGCTGCTAATTAACATGTAGGGACTCTTGCTCCAAATAGAAGTGCCTTCCTCCTGTGTGCATGAAACGGGCTAAGCCGGAACACACTGCTCCTGCTTTGCAGTAAACGTGTTCAGAGTCAATCAGGAACAATGTTATTTGTTGAGAGGCCATTAGGCAGCTTGCCAACTGTCAGAAAAGTCACGATAATGGAAAATCAAAATCTTTGCCTAGAAACAAAGAATTAGGCGCTAACTTGGGAAGAAATTGCTCCCGCAGCTACATGAAACTTGCATTTTGTTTTCCACAAGGGAAATTAATGCATTTTGAAGTTTCTTGCATCTTTGTCTGAACCAATGGGTAAGGATTTTGCAAAGGCAGTGCCTGCACAAGAGTCTAGCTTCCTTTTTAGAGCCCAGAAAAGTCCAGCCCGCTGGCTGAAGACAGTAATGATGTCACTAACTGGACCATGGTCCAAATATCTCACCGAGCTATTTCCCTCTATTAAAACTAATAGTTTGTGCTTGGCTAACATAGATCTTGCAGAGAACCATCCAGTCTTGATTTCTACGCATGAAAAGACAAAAAGCCTTCTGCTCTTCTTGGTAATTTTCTGAATAATTCATCTACCATTCCCTAGCACATCCTATATAGTCCCTATGTCTATCCTAGCAAGGCTCAGGTTAAACGTGCAGGGAACAGGTTGGTTCCTGACACTCAATAGACAACATGGTATGAAGACTTTCATACTGTGATCCACTCAATCACCTCTTTTAGCCTTCCTGAAGCAATCATATACACACATACATATGAATATATCATAGAATCATAGATCACGGGATAGTTTGGGTTGGAAGGGACCTTTAAAGGTCATCTATCCAACCCCCCTGCAGTGATCAGGGATATCTTCAACTAGACCAGGTTGCTCAGAGCCCTGTCCAACCTGACCCTAAATGTTTCCAGGGATGGGGAATCTACCACCTCTCTGGGCAACCTGTTCCAGTGTTTCACCACCTGCATCATAAAAAATTTCTTCCTTATTTCTAGTCTAAATCTACCTTCTTTTAGTTTAAAACCATTACCCCTTGTCCTATCGCAACAGGCCCTGCTAAAAAGTTTGTCCCCATCTTTCCTGTAGGCCCCCCTAAGTACTGTAAGGCCACTATAAGGTTCCCTTAGAGCCTTCTCGTCTCCACACTGAACAACCCTGACTATCTCAGCCTGTCCTCATAGGGGAGGTGCTTCAGCCCCCTGATCCTTTTTGTGGCCCTTCTCCAGACCCACTCCAACAGGTCCAACAGGTCCAAGAGCTGGACATAGCACTGCAGGTGGGGTCTCACCAGAGCAGAGTAGAGGGGGAGAATCACCTCCCTTGACCTGCTGGCCACACTTCTTTTGATGCAGCCCAGGAAGAACGATACAGTTGGCCTTCCAGGCTGTGAGTGCACATTGTCAGCTCACATACAGCTTTTCATCCACCAATACCCCCAAGTCCTTCTCCACAGGGCTGCTCTCAACCCCTTCATCCCCGCACTTGCTGGGTTGCCCCAACTCAGGTGCAGGACCTTGCACTTGGCCTTGTTGAACATGAGCTCACTTCTCAAGGTTGTCCAGGTCCCTCTGGATGGCATCCAGTCCCTCAGGCATGTGAACCGCACCACTCAGCTTGGTGTTGTCTGCAAACTTGCTGAGGGTGCACTCAATCCCACTGTCTAAGTCATTGATGAAGATATTAAACAGTACAGGTCCCAGTACAGACCCCTGAGGGACACCACTCGTCATTGATCTCTGTCTGGACATCAAACTGTTGACCACTACCCT